CAAATGAATGCCACAAGGAGACAACACCTCATGAAGGTTGGAATGACTAGAATGGCAAAGACCAACCACTGCAAGTGTCAGAAATATTGTGGGGTGAGTGGACGATCCAGCTCTGATGATGAGAATGGAAAAAAACAGAGCTGTATCAGGACACATGTGGGCAGGTTTGCACAGGTGACTCTGTTTAGCCTCGGACCCAGTACACTCCTCAATAGTTACCTAGGAGAAATGAGACACACTTACACAACCGACTGCTCATCAGTGTTCACTGCAGCCCTCCTCATAACAGAAACCTTTGGAAGATCAACACAGGCGATTCCAACAGTGACGCATGTCCGGGAGCCATTGTGCTGAGTGTCTTAGATGTATTGATAGCTGAGAACATCTCTTACTACTCAGTTGTACAGTCTGCCCTCCGCTAATGGGCCCTACACCTGCAGATTTAACCAAACCAGACTTGAAATTACTAGACATAATGTATCTACACTGCACATTTATACACTTTTTCTTGTCATTTCCTAAAAAGAGACAAAGTGACAACTGTTTATGCAGTGTCTACCTAATGTTAGCTTTGTGAGTCAGCTAGAGGTGATTTCAAGTATATGGGAAGTTGTGCACAGGTCATATGCAAAGCCTTGTATGTTTATAAGGGACTAGTGCATCCTGGGATTTGAATACCCTGCAGAGTCCTGGCTATAAGAATGACTGTATAAATAAAACTTAACCCACTAATGGGGGACTGCAACTCAATGAATCTGCGTGATGTTAGACCATGTACTTAGCCTTTCTAGAACTCTGTTTTGTACATGATTCACAGCCTTCAGGATTATATACTTTGTTGATCTCAAAGAAAGCTACCACAAACCTAACGCATGGAAAAGGAGAGTGCATCTTTCATGAGTCTTTATCAAAACCCATAGGTGCACCCTTACCTCCTATCTGGAAGAGGTTCAATCACACAATTAGGTACATACAGGCATGGACATGCACACACAAACACACACACACATTCATACACTCACATACATGCACACATACACAGAGTCACACACAGTGTCACATACCATCACACACACATGCGCACGCATGCACACACACACACCTTGAGATTTTGAAATGTTAATATCTCCAACATTGAGGGTGCCACACTTGCCATTTAGCTGCTGGAAACATAAAAGCTGTCTGCTGCTTTTCAGCCTACACGAAGCTGCCTTTCACTTACTAGAATCCCTTTTGCCTAAAATGACTTCCTCATTTCCTCATTTTGAGTAACCTGTAGAAGAAAGCCAGGGACGGAATCATCCACCTCCGTCATTTGGAGATGGGCTTGCTATTTGCAATCTCTATCTGTATCTGGGGCAGTTTGGGTCAAACACTGTTTTCAAGTCTTCATTTATTACCACTCTTTAAAGAATTCACTCTTTGATGGAAGACTGGGGAGATTCCATGTTTTGCCCCCTCGAAATGTGTTCCCACCCCCATGATGCCAGAGCTGTCTTTGAGAGCCCTGTTTACTTTGGGAAATTCAGAACTGCTCCCAAAGTTCCTTTGATGTCTATTGAAGTTAATATGTTTCTCTACATTATGGAAAAGTTATTTCAGCTCGGGCACCCACATCTCCTTGATATGCTGGGGGGCTTTCTGTTGGATTTTGTGTTTGTGGTTGTTGATTTGTGTGGTTGAATTTTGTCCTTTTAAGAATGATTTGAAGATTTCTGTCTGTTTTTTAGGGGGGTTGGGTTTTTGGTTTTTTTACTTTTCTCAAATACTAGCCAAAGGGTGATCAAGCAAGGAAATTTACAGCTCCTATGAAATAGAAATCTCCACTGAGGGGGGAGATCACAGGAAGAAATTCTTTTTCTCCCTTCCTTGTTTTCCCTAATTCTGCTGCTAGCCGTGGCTCCACAGTGAACCAACACAGATCATCCTTCAGCAGCCTTGTATCTATCAATGGACAATCAACTACCCACTGTGCTAAATGAAGTCTTGCACTAGGTATAAAAGTCAAATAGATTAAAGCGTAACTGTGAGCTGAGGGCTGTGTCTTTACGAGACTGAATGATGCATCCCACAGATTAGCATCTGCTCAGAACTTGGTGAACGTGCCATGTCTGGGAATAGGTTCTTTGAAGAGGTAATGAAGGCAAAATGTGGTCCTGTCATCCCTAACCCAGTGACTGCTGTCTTTGTGAGAAGAGGAAAACTTGGATAGGGACAAACAAAGGGAAACAAACCAAGTGAAGATGGAGGTACATGGGAATCACTTCACCACAAGCCCGGGGGTGCCCATGCTCACCAGGTACTGCCAGTAACTGGAAAGAGGATGGGTTTTTAGACAAAGCTTATGGAGTGGATACCGCTCAGCCAGCACCTTTATTCTCATCCTGCAGCATCTGGTAAAGACATTCTTATTGCTTGGAATTCTCTGTTCTTTCTGGCAGCTCTACAGTGTTACCATATCCAAGACATAATTAGTAACACATAGCTGTATATTATCAGTCAGCAATCCAAGTGCTTTCACACACATAAGCATTACAGGCCTATAAAGCAGGTATTATTAATACCCTGTGTTTAGAGTAGCCTCAAGGATTGGTCATACAAATCAAAACACATATGGGAAGGAAAGGAACACTATGAATAACTACACTGGGATAATAAACTTTGACCAATACTGACAGGAATGTATGACTATCCTTGCTGTATTATAGATTTGGAGACTGTATTGCAGGAAAGCTAACTACTCTGCCAACGTGTGCCTTGGGTAAGAGACACAGGATCTTTACCTAGGCAGTCTGGCTCCAGAGGATTGCTTATGAGCATCAGACTGTGTCATATTGGGTCTGCTCAGATTCTGAGACCTAGACATGGGACTAAAGAAACATCTACAAACAGGCCTCAATTACAGGTCTGAGTTAACACTGGAAAAGACGGAAGAGGAACCAAGAGAGCTCTTCTTATTCTGTTACGCACAGTCCTAGCAAGGGAAATCAGAGGACCTTGACTATGCGAAACTCTGCCATCTAGTAACTGTGTCCTGTAGCCAGTCATTTCCTCCCTCTCCCTATGTTCCCTCCCCATCTCCCGTTACACCTTCTGACTTCAGCTCTGTGCAGACTCCAACATTAATCAGCGATCCCAAGGATGGCTCAGTTCAGAGTATCAAACAATGGGTGATAGTTACAAAGAGGTTTGTGGGAGATGGGTCCTCTTCAGCCCTGTGGATAGGTCCAGTAATCTGCTATGGCTCAGAAAGTAGGAAGTGGGATGTACCACATTGAAATTAACCTTTGGGTCACCGGAGAAACAACAGGTTGACAATCCTTCCCTTCCTGAAGAGCAAAATCAAGGGATAGTAAGAACAAAGACCACATATTGAACTCTGTACTCGTTTTTAAAGTCTAAATTATGAAGTCCTGATGTCCCCATTCCTGTGGCCTTGCAGGTGACACCTTGCATATTGTTAGATATTTGGACCAGGTTTGAGTTGACTGTCTCTTTAGACCTGTGGTTGTGACTGCTGAGGCACAGCCTAGCCTCAGCCAATAGTTGATATCACTCAACCTCCCCTCTCCCTGGAAGTTGCTTCATAAGCAGTTGCTAATCAGTTTAGATACCATCCCATCCTATTAGTTCTACATTAGACAAAACCTCCTTTCTAAGCAGCTGTATGTCCAGGCCCCTCATCACCAGCTGCACGAGCCTGTGCTCCCCAGCTGTTCTCTGGCTGCCTTCTCCTCTATGCTTTGTCTTTCTTCATGGATTCACCTGTCTCACCAGTATGTGGACTCTCATTCCAGAACATGCATTGGTCATTATCATGCCTGACGTGATGGCACAGTATAGTCCGGTAAAGGGCATTTCTGGTATAAAGACCATGCTTGGGGTAATGGATGCTTATGGCTACTCACTCACCTGCATCCAGACTGCTTTTAGTATCTCCTTACTCTTTCCCAGGCATAGCGCCCTCCTCCTTCCAATCATATGTTACTTGCTCCCTAGTACATCAGGCACTCAGGGCTGCCCCTTCCCTGTTGCGCAGAATGCCACCAGCCCTTCGCTAACTCAGCCTCTTTCTCTCCTTTAAGGCACATCTCTGACACCACCTTCTGATGCCAATCTTCCTTGCTTCCTCCTTTCCACACCCAGCTTCCCTTAGAATCAGTACCTAGCAGCTCACGGATCCTAGGGTACCTCGACAAAGCTTCACTGGCTGTTCTCCCAGCTGACTGATGGCACAGTCCTCACTGTGTTTCTCTGGCTCCTTGGAGACCAAGCATCCTCACCTTTGTATTCCTATGATGCCCAACTGTGCAGACAACACAAAAAGAACTCAGGAAACGTGCTACAGCTAAGATCAAATTCCTCATCTATCTGCCTCCCTTCTGCATGGGCCCTGCTGTGTGCATGGCCCTGTGTGTGTGGAAATCAGACGCTGCAGATCTAGACTGTAGGAGAAGAGGCACAAAAGCCTCCAAAGAAACCCACTGAGAGGGAAGCCCAGGATGTTATTATGCCCCAAGACAGAGGCGGAAAGAATAGGAGAGCACGTGGTTGGTTTTATACAGGCACCCTCCTTTGAAGGCTTTTCCTGCCAGCTTCATTCTGCATCTGAGCTGCCAGCCCTTGCAGGAGGGTTCCGAGTTTTTCTTCAGTTCGTCCTTTTCTCCATTGCCCCAGCCCTCTGGTGTTCATGGAGACTTGGCTGCAGAGCCCTTTTCAAATACACATCATTAATTCCACTCCGCCGCACATGTGGGGCCATGCATTTGCAAAGGGAGAGAAATGCAGAATTCAGAATCTGGGCTGCCACATGCAAAGACCATCGGGAAGGCAAACCAAAGACAGCCTTTATGTTTTTGTTTTTCAACAGACAGAAGGTCACGGCAAGCAGCAGCCATTAGGCTAATTAGACCTTCGGAATAAGAGAGGGGAGAGAACTCTCCAGTGGAGGAGAGGGAAGGGAGGGGACAAAGACAGTAATTGAAGCCAAATAATGAATATTAAACTCTTGTAAGTAATGTTTAATTAAGTTATCTTACGACAGAGGCTTTTTGCAAATATTTCCATGGGATTCAATGTAGTACATTAAGTGCCTAGAAAAATCAGCAAGCAGAGAACACAGGCTGCCTGCCTTCCCTCCAGTCTAGGCAGCTGTTACATCTGTAACAGACTTCCCTGGGTTGAAGTCTAAGGAGACCACAGAAGTGTGAGGTCCTGAGCCCACTGTGTTTGCCCTCTCTACCTCACCACACCACATGAGCAAAGGAGGACAGACTGACAAAGGAACAAATAACTTAATGGACAGCATAGGCTTTGTTTGGAAAAGGAACTGCAAAGACCAGAGTGAATGGTCAAAGGGCAAAAAGGGGGAAAGGGGAAGGAGAATGGATATTCTCGGGCCCTGGGTAGGATGTTGCTGGGGGCAGCTAGTGTGTGTGTTGGGCTAAAGAATACCAGGTGACTGATAAACATCTTTCCTAGACAATTATTAGGGGGGAAGTGATAATGAGTAAAAATTGTGGGGAATGTATAAAAGCTTTCTTACATAAGGCATGAAAACTCAATGGAAAAATTGGAAATGGATATGAGCAGGCAGTCCACAGAACAAAATTTAATCTGGTGAGCTTATAGAGAAACAAGACAGAAATGCAAGAAATTAGAAAAATACACTATCCAAAATGCTACTATTGCTGCCTTGATGGCAACCCTAACATGCCAGGTTCAGTCACCTGTCCTTGATAAGCCAATTAAAAAGAGTCAAATAGTGGCAAGAAGATGGTAACATTGGGAAGAGGGACAGAGATCTAGTGACCCCCAATATCATCTTCAGCGTCAGGTTAAAGTTCAAAAAGAAGCCAAAGTTATGCATATCTCAGCAGTCCTGGTCAAAGTGGCCCTGCCCATCATCGGCCCATTAATGTCTGGGCTTCAGTCTCATTCTGCAAAGTTGTCTGCCAAGTTCTCAGCACTGTGAAATCTCTTTCTGGGATCATGTTCTCCCTCTGGCTGGCACCAGGCTTCAGTCTTTTCCTTCTGCCAGCATGAGACTCCTTCCTAGAGGCAATTCCAGTTCCTTGAGGTGCTTTGCTTCACAGCCTGATAGCCAAAGGAGAGAGAAAATTGTCTTTTTAGAATATTCTGATTCCTTTCAAGCATACCACTTAGAGTACCATCTCATATGCACCAGACAAATAATGCAATGCTAATATCTGCTTGTGTTTGTGAGGACACAGATGGCCGAGAATGTGGCATTGATATAAACAGATGCCATTAAAGAGCAATGCAACACATCACACAACACACACACACGCACACACACACACACACATACACACACACACACACACACACACACACACACACAAACACACGGGATGGGGTGGGGTGAATGAATCCTGGGATCCAGGAAATTCCCTGCCAATTATATGTCTTATACACTCAGAAATGTGGCAAATACATACAAAGAGCCATTTTTATGTCACAAACTTGGAAACAAATTCGCATTCATGAGCAAGACAATGGACCAATCAACCAGAGCATATATAAGATAAAAATTAGTGAAAACATTATATCACAATGCTAAATCTTTTCAACATAATTTTAAGAAAAAATAAAAGCAAAATAGCAAAAGACATAGCAGGGAAATTCAATTACATTATACAATTTGTGTAAGGATTTTAGGTGTTATGTTCTACACATAGTTGGATTTCTAGTTAACAATCAGAATGTATTATCCACTGCCCATTGGCCAACAGTGCATATTTAGGGATACATACATATGTATTAAAAATGAAATGCATGCTAATAACACTGTATGCCTGGTAGAAGCTACCTGGCGCAGAGAATTCAAGAAGCAATGTGGGTAGTGTCCAGGGCTATAAATGGGCACCTATCACACTCATCTGTACAGCTTTTGCATATTTTAAATGTTTCAGAAGATATTTAAAAGTAGCCATATTATTGTTAAATAGATATAAGTGCATTTTATTAAGATTGCAAACAGCATGAATGACCATATTTCATTTCTATTGTAAATGCTCCACAGTTGGATTAATGAGGTGTATCTGAAAGAGAGCTAACAAGCCAGATCTCCCCCAACTCCAGAGGGCTGAAGCAATGGGAAAGGAGTGGGAGAAAAACTCTGAACCTTCCTGCAAGGGCTGGCAGCAAAGTCAGGGAATGCAGCTAGCTGGTGGGAAAAACTTTGAAGGGGAGTTGCCTGCATCAACCAATCATGAGCTTTCTTACTCTTTCTTCCTGTGTCTTGGTACATAAAGCCTTCTCTCTCAGTGGGCTTCCTTGTACACTTTTGTGAATCTACTCATGGCCTGCCTAGAGTCTGCATCTTCAGCCTCAAGGTTTCCACCTCTGTGGGTCATGTGCCATCATCAGGGAGGAGAGGAAAATCAGACATGAAGAGAGGTCAAGGGGAAACCAGGGGTAAAACAAGCAGAGGGGAGGGATTTTAGGGATAGTGATGTGTTCTAAAGCTGAAACGTTTCACAAACTGCACCCAAGGATCTGGTGGGTTGTTGCCTGCCCAGCACTAATCCACACGGGCCAGACACCATAACCAGAGCAGGTGAGTGTCTTGCTAGACCTCTCATGAGTCCTGGTGAATAAAAGAAATTGAGGGTAGAAGACCTTTCCAAAGGGAAACCAAACTCAATGATTCTCATGGAAAAAAGAGGGTATATTTCGATCCTTCTCTCCATTGCATTACCGAGTGTGTGTGTGTGTGTGTGTGTGTGTGTGTGTGTGTGTGTATGAATGATATATGAGAATACTTGGTTAGCAAAGGCAAAGGGGACCCACTCATACAATCATAGACAGGAATGGAAACCAGGGAAACCAAACACACCCACTTATGTATCTGAACCTCCTTATAAGGGGATTTAGATTTGAAGAAGTCTTCCTGAGGAGTATATAGATGGATGCCTATTTTGGGGAAGGGTTGCTATGATGAATTCTTCAACTCTTTTATGAATTAAACACTCATAAAGTAGTGTCTCTTCCAGAGAGTGACACCAGTGTGTTGACTACTTATTGAAAAGTGAAAAGATCAAGAAGAAAAGCCAGAAATCTATGTACTGGTTTAGTGGTTTAGTGGGGCATCAAGTAAGTTAACCCCAACTCTGTAATTAGGAGATGATCTGGTCCAAGTTATAGCAACTACAGCCTACATTTGATCTGTAGCTGATGATGCTTTGGGCCACAAGAACAACTAAAAGAGAATAGGGTAGGGATTATAGACAATAGAGTCCACAGAGCCTAAAATATGTGCTGTCCTCCTCTTTACAGCAAATTCTCCCTAACCCCAAGTTGGAAGTGAATGTCTATGATACAATATAGGCCACAACAGAATAGTAAAGCTACTGACAGTCAAAAATATGTACTGCATTTACCCTAATAAAATGCCAAAATGGAGTTAAACATAAAGGATTTTTAACATTATATGTTTTGAATTATTGTTCTCAGACATGCAAATCAGATCTATTTTTAGCAGTTACAGCATATCTCCATGAGACTGGATACAGTTGAAATGCTCTGTAGCTATGTGTGAGTAATGGCTAGGATTGTGGAAAGGCCAAAGCTAGATAATGTAAAAATTATATAAGCTTCAACACAGGTACACTCTTGTGTGTGTCTGTCTGTCTGTCTCTCTGTGTCTCTCTCTGTCTCTGTCTCTGTCTCTGTATCTCTCTTTCACACACACACACACAATATCCAATTTCAGTTCCAATTCTGTTGAGTCTTTCCTGATCCCTCCCATACTCACCAAATCCAATTCTAGTTCCAATTCTGTTGACTCTTCCCTGATCCCTCCCATCCATACCAACCTTAGCTGCTGGCATTCTGAATATGTAGCTCTCTGTGGATGTATAGAGCTCATGCCTTTCATAGCACTGAGCCCACGGTCCTGGGTTCCCATCCTGCCCCACAGCTTGCCCATTCTGGGCTTCTGCTCTCATTCAACACTCTGCTCCTGTCTTTATAGTGTATAGGCTACTCTATCTGTACCCTGTCCTTGTCTCCTCTTCTGGGACTTTGACATGGATTTTTCTCCTCCTCTCTTGCTCATAGATATCTTAGACGTTCTAAGTAAGCTAGCAATTAGCCTGTTGCCAACCATCAGCACCTCTGGAGGGAGGTGAGTTGAGAAGGAGCTAGCTACAGAGATGAGGCTGGGTTGAGGAAAAGCATACCTACTGAGTAGCTCAACATATCAGAAATAAGGGATGCATCAGTGCCTGGATAGGTCCTTTGGGGTTAGAGAAACAGCAGACACCTGAGACTTAGCCATTGAGAGCCATTGGGAGAACTGGAGATGGAGCCAGAAACAAGAGGAATAGGTCTAGGGTCCAAAAAGACACCCTCAGCTTCTCTGGAGAACCAGCCCACAGCCAGGGTCAGAAAGCCACTGAGTCAACACAAGCTAAAGTCCCCAGGTTCAGGGTCGGAAGGAAGGAGATGGGGCCGAGGAAACAGGGTCACTGGGGTGCCAGCAAGGAATTTAATACTTCAAGGGCTAGTACTAAGATTGTTGGCAATCCACACTTCTCAGCACTGTTGCCATCAGGGAGAGGCTGTGCCCTCCTGACCACCATCTCCACCTCCACTCCACCCCATCCTGCCCTTGAGAACCTCCATTCAAGCTCAGCCTGATCCTTAGCTATATAATTTCAGGATCAGTCACAACAAACAAGGTTAGTGAATTTACATAGACATAAGAAGTGGTACACAGGTTGGTTAATATGAGAGATACCTAAAAGATGGTACTAAACACACAAAGTCTGGGCTAAGAGAGGAGCACAGTGTGAGCTTCTGGAAGACAGGGAAGCCCTTAGGTGTCCTTCCATTGTGTATAAGTACTAGCCTATGGTTGAGTTATATTGCTGAAAGATGTAACTTACAACAATGTTTAAAGATTAAGCAAAACTTAATAATTAAGTGAGAATTTTGAAAGATTGTTTAAAATATGAGAACTAGTATACTTGCACCTTTAAAAGAATTTCCTTTTTATAAATAAAATTATGAGGTTCCCCCCCAAGGGTTCTTTGTCCGTGTTTAGGAATGAGAAATCTAATAGACTTAAACTCACCATTTAAAACATTCTGGAGTTCAGTAAACACAATTACTTGTCATTTTAATATCCTTATTGGAGAGGTCTTTAAGAAAACCAGCATTATCTGCATAGGCTATTTTGGCTTTACTTTATCTGTTGTGCTGAAGTTTCTGATTCAGCTGGCTGGAAAAACAAACAAAATTTCAGTTTGAGGAGCTTCTCCCCTTCCCATGTCCCCTTAATTTTTGCTGTCTTTCTATCTTGTCTCAAAAAATATAATCTAGCTGGCTGGGCTTGATGCAGCACATTAGAAATCCTGGCTACATAGCAAGTTCTGCATAGCCTGTGCTGCATAGATAGCAAGATTCTGTCTCAAAATCAAAATAGTTGGGGTTATAAACCATTAGTAGAACATTAATCCAGCATATGAAAGACTCTGAATTCAATCCTATTGCCACACACACATGCACAAACACATATACACACACATATGTGCATAGACACATGCACACACAAGTGCATACACTTGGACATACACACATTTGCATATACACATGCACACACATGTACATACACACCCATGTGCATGCACACATACACATGTGTGAAAACACACACACACGCAGAAGTACATCTAAGATATCCTCAACTGCTCTGCTCCTGAAAGTAGCCTATGAAGGCACTTAAATAAAGTTTGTAGGGAACTTCGTTGTGTGGGGCTGGAGGGGGGTGTTGTGTTTTTTAAGTAATTGTACTATAATAGTTCATTATAACTTTCTTCAAACTATATATAAAGTACAAGCCCAGAATACCTTAACCAAATGTTCAAGATCCAACACATTCAGAGGTTCAGAGTTGTTTAGGATCTGAAACATTTTCATGGACTACCTGTAGAGCATGCCAGCGCAAAAAATTACATCTCCTCTGAGTGAAGTAGGAGCAGCACTAAAAAAGGTTTAGATTTTGTAGCATTATGCATTTTAGATTTTTTTTTGGATTTGGGATGCCAAGCCTATATAAGAAAAAAACTCAATAAAAAGTAATTAATTAATTATTGAGGTTGCCTAACCCTGAAGTTTCATTTTTATACCACTATAACATATAGTATTTAGCAATCATATGAAGTCATATTGCCATCCACATTTTGTGGTGTGTGTGTGTGTGTGTGTGTGTGTGTTGTGTGTGTGTAAGTTAGCATTCTTTTGAGTTTTAGGAGATCCACTCTAGCCCTTTTGCCTTCCTCACCATACATGTGTATAGGGGAAGTTGTCACTATTTTACACAAATGATCATTTTATACATTCACCACTTTGGTCATCACATCCTTCAAGTTTCTTCAAATTAATGGGTTTAGAGTTAATTTGCTTTTAATGGCTGCAGAATATGAGCAGTGTATGCATATCATAATTAATTCAACCGTATCTACTGGCAGGCCCTCCCTTTGAAACAACTTTGCATATATGCCCTTATGTACTGCTGCTTTGATCTCCTTAGGAGAAATTCCCAGCAGTGGGACTTCTGGGTAGGAGGAGAGATGGAATAACAGGTCTTACCAACAATGGTCGAGGCAGTTTCCATCTGCTTTCCAGAAATGTGGACAAGCCTTCCTGAAATGCATCTCCCCCAGCAGTGGTCTTCCTGATCATTCCTTGGGTGTAAAGTTACAACTCAAGACTACTTTATCTAGAAGTTTCCCAACTTCAGGTTTTAGAATATGAGCCTAGTCTTTAACCCATATCTCTAGCCAGAATCAGTTCATACACTCCCTGCAGTGCTCTTAAGCAGCAGTCTGGGCTGTTATTTGACAGTTTTCAGTTTATGGTACCTGGCTCCTTCATGTTCCCTGCCACCTACACTACACTGAACTAAGTCATGCAATGTGAATCTTCCCTCTAGCCCTTATGAGGTTATAAAAATCAGCCTTTCCTCTGTCCTGGCGATGGGTCTAAGACTCCTCAGGGGAAGTGGCAGAAGGTTGCTATGACAGCTACTACTGAAAGAGACTCCTCTGGCTTCCCTCCCTGCACCCCTCTCATGTCTCTCTGTCTCTATCTCTATCTCTCTCCCCTCATTCTGTGTTAATGATGGTCCTCTGGGTTTTAAGGGAAAGCCTCCTTTGCTTTAAGGAACTATCATGTTTAGATAGCCATATATTTTCTATTGTCCCCATCTAATGTTCTCCCTCCCACATCAAAACCCAATGAGAAGCCTCAAGTTCCTCTCATTCTAATAAACACCACACTAAGAAGGAATTATTATGTGTCAGCTTCCTTTCTGGATTGACCAGTGGTATTCTGTTATATTTAATACAAGTAAGTCTGAGCATTTTTCTTGTTTTTATTCTGCATTTGAAATCATTGTTCTGCGAGCTATCATTCATATCCTTTGCCTACTGGTCTGACCAGTTGTTTGTTATTAATAATTCTAAGAGCTCTTTGTGTATTATAGCTATGAATTCCTTATAAGTGTAAGTATTCTGCACTTTTTGGTTGACTTCATTCTTATCTTTACAGCTGATTGCAGCATTTTGTCTGGATAAAAGGACAAAGCAAAATCCATATTCTGAAAATCTAAGATTAAAGTGTCCAGCATGGTGGGTTTGTGGTGAAGTGGTCTTTTCTCTTGGGTTGCAGTTGGGACACAGTTTTCTGTATGCTTATATGGAGTTTATTTTCCCTCTGTGTGGCAGGGAAAATAAACCTCTCAGGTATCCCTTAATTTTCAAATAAGAAGGTAGGTCCTATAGAGTCAGAGCCCTGTCCCTGAGTTTTCATGTAATCTCAATTCCTCCCTAGTGGCCCTATCTCCAAACATATATGGATTTGAGAGGGACACAGTTCCGTGTCTAGCAGACAGGTTCTATAACAGAGAATACATGGAGAAGAAAAGACACTTAAATATTCACAGTAATTTCCATATTCCAGCTGGACAGGGAAATAGCTGGACGATTCTTACTCACCTCCATATATACCCTGCCCTCACCCCCATCATAGAAATAAGTGTGAAGGGGCCATGGGCAGCAGGTCTCAGTCAGTCTCTGTATCTCCTGGATCCAGCACTAGGTCAGGGCAGCATGCCTGACTCATTGTCCACCACACCTAAAGGGCATGCGATTCTTTGATATATTGAGAAATGTGTTTTGAGCTCTGACCCATTTCTTGTTCCCTGGCACACTGTTGTCAAATCCTTGGAGTCTCTGGAAAGATGCTCCTTTGTATGATAATGAGGAAATTGAAGGCTAGGGCTCCTTGTAGCCTCAGTATGAGAGGCCTGGTCTCCAGGGCTCCTCATTGCCTCAGAAGGAGGGACATGGTCTCCGGGACTCCTCATAGCCTCAGGATGAAGAGCCTGGTTTCCATGGAGGCCAATTATGGGTCTAAAACAGTGTTATTCAACCTTCCCAATGCCTTGACAATAATACAGCTCTTTATGTTGTGGTAACCCTCTAACCATAAAAATTATTTTCATTGCTATTTCATAACTGTAATTTTGCCACTGTTATGAATTGTAATATAAATATCTGTTTTCTGATGGCCTTAGGTCATTTGAGCCCCGAAAAGTTTGTCACCCACAGATTGAAAAGCATGGGTCTAGAAGGCTGCAAAGTCTAGATCCAATTCCTGACCTCTGACAGGAGAGTGGCCCAAGGTTAAAGTGGTCACCAGTGATTTACTAGGCCATAACTGAGCAATGAAACCACAAAAATAAGACAAAAGGAAAAGGTTCAAGGCATCCAGGTTGGTGAGAAAGGACATATCTATAAGTAGGCAGGCGAGCAGACATACCCTCCAGTCCCACAGGGACAGATGTTCCAGTGCCCACACCTCATCCTACATATTCCTCACTCAGGTTATTTAAAATACTATTTGTTATAAACTGGTATTGATAACTAAATTGTTTTACTGGATCCTGTGAGCTACCCCAGGACATTATTGAACTTGATAAGTAGATCATAGAAACAATCATCAGTGGCCTGAGGAGTTCCCTTATCCATCAGTGATCTCTGCCAGGTAAAGCCACATAGTGACTATACTGCTGAGGAAAAGGCGAGCCAGAAGAAAGCAAAGTTAGTGACTGTATTAAGACAAGGAAAAGAGCATGTAGAGAGACTGAGAAAAGAGAGCCACATAGATAGGGAGACATAGGAAATTACAGCATGCATCAAAGAAACGGATACAGGTTTCTTAAGAAAGTCACACTTAGATGTCTTACAATGGATGTACATATTATGTTGTTTATCATATAAGATAATTCATGCCAAGTTTCCAAGATGAAACTAAAAATTGTAAGTAAAGTTTAAGAAATAAGTGAAAACATGTGACTGGTTTATTTGCTTATAGCATCTTAAAATTTTCCTTTTTTGTAGGCCTGGAGAAATGGCTCAGTGATCAAAAGCATTCCTATTCTCTCAGAGGACCTGAGTTCAATTCACAGCACCCAAATGGCCAATCATAACCATCTGCAACTACAGTTCCAGGGCATCTGATGCCCTCTTTGGATTTCTTTAGACTCTTGTATTCATGTGGTTTACATACACACATACACTCAGAGACACATGCATGTGCATACATACTCACTCTCTCTCTCATATACACACAGAGAGAAAGAGAGAGAGAAAGAGAGAGAGAGAATAAATCTTTTTTAAAAATCACAAGAATTTCCTTTTGTAGATGAAATTGTTAGGTGGTTCTATGAATTTCCTTATTCGGACTTGGGGTGAGAGAATGCTGATGTAGCTAAACTAAGGCCATAAGTAGGTGAAATTTGTCCTTTTCTTAAAAAGAATCTGAGATGGGGTTTCTTTGTGTAGCCCTGGCTGTCTTGGAACTCACTTCGTAGACCAGGTTAGCCTAAAACTCACAGAGATCCGCCTACCCTGCCCCACAAACACTGGGATTAAAGATGAGTGTGCACCACCAGAGCCCTGGGCATGGCTTGTCTTTTAACATCTTTACTAGAGATGTCTTAAGTGCTAGCTCTGAAAGCAGTTTTGATTTTATGAATTATGTTAAAGTTTCAAACTTATAGTCAGATTATAGAGGGACTTTTTGCCATCTCTTGTCCCCTAAATTTTCACTGTCATTCTATCCTCCCTCAGACTTTCTTTGTAACCAAGTTAGACAGAAACATAGGTCACCTGGGGCCCCAGGCTGGCAAGAAATAAAGTGCTCTTATGGGACTAA